AATAGAATAGAATAGAATAGAATAGAATAGAATAGAATAGAATAGAATAGTTGGAAGGGACTTTGGAGGTCTTCTAGTCCAACCCCCTGCTTAGGCAGGAAACCTTACACCACTCCAAACAAATGGTTATCCAACATCTTTTTAAAAACTTCCAGTGTTGGAGCATTCACAGCTTCTGGAGACAAATTATTCCACTGATTAATTGTTCTAACTGTCAGGAAATTCCTCCTTAGTTCTAAGTTGCTTCTCTCCTTGATTACTTTCCACCCGTTGCTTCTTGTCCTGCCTTCTTGGGTGCTTTGGAGAATAGCTTGACTCCCTCTTCTTTGGGGCAGCCCCGGAGATATTGGGACACTGCTATCCTGTTACCCCCTAGTCCTTCTTTTCATCAGACTAGACGTACCCAGTTCCAGCAACCAGCCTCCAGTCCCCTAAACAATCTTGCCAGAGAGGCCAGCCATCATTTCTGTCATGGGCACTCGGGATACCCGTGCCTCCTTCATATGGACTAACATTCTTTCTCAATCTAATTTTGGCTTGCGAGAGACAGCTCGGTGTTTTCGGCTGAGAACCGCATATCAGCTCAGCTCAGCAAGCCCCCAAATGGCTCATTCACAGTTTAGAAAGGGAAGAAGGTGGTTGTTTACCTTTTGAAGTACAGTGTTGATTAAAAAAACAACAACAGAATAACAAGAGTTGGAGGTCCTCTGGTCTGCCCTCTGCTCGAGCAAGAGACTATAGCATCCCAGACAAATGGTTATCCAAACCTCTTTTTAAAAAACCTCTGGTGATGAAGCACCTACTTCTGAAGGCGAGTCGTTAATTGTTCTGCGAGGAAATTTCTCCTTAATTCTAGATCGCTTCCTTCCTTGATTATTTCCCATCCATTGCTGGGGGACATAATTTCAATATAATGTTTAGTACATAATTGGACATAATTTCAATAGTGTTTCGCCCTTCGTTAGGAATCTTGTTCATTCTCGGCGTGTGGATTATTGAGTTTTAAATTGTTATGTTATTTTATGACACTGTCAATAGCAGCCATGCCAATACATCACCGGCTCTCGGACGTTAAGAGAACAGGCACAGAACTTGAAAGAAGTTTTTCAAACTTTCCTGTTTGGCTTCATGGATGATGGTGTCCTTGGCCGTTCAAAAATAATGCAAAACTGCTTTTTCAGCCAGGAGGATTTTCAATTCTAGCCTACGTCTCCGGGTGGTCTCCCATTCGAATTTTAACTAAGCCAAGCCTCAATTTACAAGCACAATTGAGCCTAAAATTTCTGTTGCTAAGTGAGTTTTGCCCCATGTTGCAACCTTTCTTGCAACACAAATGAATCATTGCAGTTGTTAAGGTCATAACCTGGATGTTAAGGGACTTTGGTTTTTGGAATGTTGCGAAAGGGAATTGTGTGGCCTCTGCCAACCGTCATAAACAGGAGTCAGTTGCCAAGCTCCTGAATTTTGGGCTCAATGGTGGTTGTAAGTCGAAGACCACCTGTATGAAACGTTGGTGAGCCACTGTCCCTGTTGGGAGGAGGCATCAAATAGGGAATTAGCCTGGACTCCTCACATAGACATTAGAGGGCGAGGTCTGGCCTTTGAGCCTTATCTGGATGAATCTGCCATTCTGCAAAGATTCCTGTAATATAGACACAGAACAATAAAGCGCAGAGTTTGAACTCTACGCATGTGGATCTGGTTGTGTATGCCTAACACTGAAGGGATTTTTTTTCCAGCTGAACATGGTGCTGTCTCCTTTGTGTCGGCACATGGTGAGTTTTCTGTCCATTTTGGAAAATCTAACACACACACACACACCCGACCTTTGAGCTTCAAGAACTCTGCGATGAATGATGGTCGTCCTTGGGCTTCACGGGAGAAAACCAGCCGTGAAGCTTTCTTTTCAAGAGATACCCGAAAGGTTGAGAGAGTGAAGGGGCTTACTTGGCTGTCTGGCCGACCTTCTTCATCACCCGCTCATATTCCCGGAGGTTCATCAACAGGTTGATCTTTGTCGTCAGGATCTTGTTGTTTGGGATCTGGTAGAGAAGCTGCTCTCCTGAATGGGCAGAAGAGGACAACAAAACGAAACCAAAGGCTCGGGCAGCAGAGGAGATAAAGAAGGCATTCTAGGCCTGGCTTTAACGACCGGTTATGACGGACTGATGTGCTTCGAACTAAAAAGGTGACCTAGTTGGGTAATGAACGCCTGGGAGGAACACCGCTCAGCTCAGAGAGCCCCAAGGGCCTCCTCCACCTCCATTCCTCAAACCCCACTCCATTCAAGCCCTGATGATGTTACCTAGTTTGGTAATGAAATGTCTGCAAGAAAACAATCAAGGATGCCCCAATCCTCCACCCTGAAAACCTCACTCTCCCTTCCAGTACTGATGACGTTACATAGTTGGGTTAGGAAACGCCCGCACGAAAGCAACCAAGCTCAGAGAGCACCAAGGATCTCACAGTCCTCCTCCTCCGCCTCCTCTCCACAAACCCCACTCCCTTCTGGCACTGATCAGGTCACCTAGTTGGGTCATGAAATGTCTTGAAAGGAAACAGCCAAGCTCAAAGACACCAAGGACCCCAGCAATCCTCCCCACTCCGTTCTAGCCCTGATGATGTTACCTAGTTTGGTAATGAAATGTCTGCAACAAAACCCCCAACTTGGAGAATACTAAGGACCCCGCAGTTCAACTCTGAGCTACAAATATATATATATATATATTTATATTTTTTTTCTATCGGAACTCTGGCTCCTCGACCTCTAAAAATCCTGAATCTGCCATTGTTTCTCCCAGCTTCTCTTGACCGGTACCACCTGCCCCGTACCTTCTCGGAAGTTGCAATAGGTGTCCCGAAACTTGGTCTCGCACCATTTCAAGATGTAGTCTTCCCTTCGGTTGTCATGAATCCTTTGCCACCCTTTACTTTTGCAGTAATTACTCAGGCTGTGGGAGAGAAACCAGGAGGCCTTGTGGTGAGAGACGAAAAGATAATCCTCTAGAAATGCAGGCAGTCCTCAAACTTATGACCACAACGGAGCCCCCACACCCCACACCCCCAAAATTCCATGGCTAAGCAAGGCAGTTATTGATTCCCATTTCGCAGCCCTTTTTGCCGCCTTCCTTAAGCGAATCGCTGCGGCTGTTGAGTGAATCCTGCCGTTGTTAAGCGAATCGGGCTTTTCCCCTTGTCTTCGCTTGTCGGAAGCCGGCAGGGAAGGTTGCAAAAAGCCCAAATTTAGATCACGTGATGTAAAATTTTAAATTGTGTTGCAGCACGAGGATGCTGCAACCCAATAATAAGTGTCTAAACAGGGGATCAGTCACGTTTTTCTCAGTGCTGTCGTAACTTCTGTCGCTAAACAGGTTGGCTGTAAGCCGAGGACAACCTGTAATAAGCCAGTCGCTCCCCAAACCTTTCTCTTCCTAAGTTCAGGCTCCTACAGCTGAGAGGGCTCCGCAAAGGCCATCTAGTACACCCCCCTCCTTGATGTAGCGTTCCCCACCCCCGACCCCTCAAGGGCTGGGGGTACCAAAGGCTCTCCCCTTACACATCAACCCCATTCGCTCCGCCGATGTAAAAGAACGGCCCCGATCCTGGGCCTTCTTCATTTCTTCTCTCTTCCAGGTGACTCATTCGGAGCGCTGCATTCAGGAAGGCTCGGGGCTTCTTGGATCTGAATTCATATGTGAACCTCCCTTCGGCGACTCTGGGAACCCCTGGAAGGGAGAAAGAGGAGGTGTAAACCCTCTTAGGTCCAGCTAGGCCATGGGGAAGGGGGGGCTGGAGAGGGGGTGGTGGGGGAAAGCTAGCTTATTCCTTGTCTGGCCTTCGGGTGATTTAGAAAATAGCTTGACAGCCCCTCCCTCAAATATTGGAAAACAGGTTCTCCTGTCTCCCCTGGTCCTTCTCTTCCCTAGACTAGCCAGGCCCAAGTTCCTGCAACCATTCATCGACTGTTTCAGCCTCCAGTCCCCTAATCATCTTTCTTTCTTTCTTTCTTTCTTTCTTTCTTTCTTTCTTTCTTTCT